AACCAACAAATCCCCTACACTTATTGGCAGTAGAGATTACTTGTTTAGATTGGGTGCATGAATTGTATAAATCTGAAGCTAAACAAAGGAAAGGCTGCCATAGTATTCCTGTTCATTATAGTCCTCTGACCTCTGCAAGTTGCATATTTAGATGAAGTTCCACATTTAGATGAAGTTCCAGTTGGTCACCATCTGGATCCATTTGTGGTTTATGGGGCCTGGGAGAGATCTCAGGGTGTGATGCAACACCCCTTTTCTAGGGATGGGATGCTTGCAAAAAGATTTTAGGTGCCTCCCATGAACTAGACAGCTAAGAGACCATTACAATAAGGGCGCCATACCCTAAAGGGAAGGAAGCTTAAAATCTCCAGTGCTGAAATACTTAAGATAATTTTAGAAGACACCAAGGAGAGATATATGGTTAATGTTCCCTTCCTTTCTCTGGCAGGAGTTGTTCTGGTGCTCATAGAAGCACTTTCTCATGAGGGATTGACAGTTTTCAATCCTTCAAAAGGTGAACAGGTGAGTCCTGTGTCCTAAAACACAAGCCCAAATGCCAGGCTTTGTGAGTTGTGGCATTTGCACTGAAATGAGGAAACTCAAGTTTTGGTCCCTCTTTAGGGTGTGAGTCTCTTGCAGCTTAAACTATTGGGCTGAATAATGGGTTTCATGCCTTGCATACTCACCTGCCAAGTCTTTTGATGCCTGCAGATCCCCTTGCTAAACACTGGAGGCGAAGTCTTTCTAAAGGGTCAGTGGTTTTGGCCAGATTTATTTTTGATTTGATTATCATCTCTTGATCATGTCTTGCTGTTCCTGACATCTGGAAGACAAAACCACTGATGTGGCATGGATTCACATTCAGACATAGTGCTGAAACCTACCTTAGCATACAAAGCATCTCAAATTCCTAACTTGCAAGCTGCTGTTAGCAACTCTTTAATGACAACCCATTTTGACCCTCCATTTCCTTTTACTTATATCCTTCTATCAGAAAGGGAAATTGCCAATATAGGCCACTGACCATGAAAGAAGAGCTCAGCCGACCACTCTGTGATTAATCCAGATGCAGACAGGAAACTCTGATGAGAATTTTCAGCCTACAGTGTGAGAACTCAGGAGTGTGACCATGAAGACTCCCAAAATATCTTCCAGCCTTTCAAGCACCACGGGATCAGGGCACACAAGAGTCACAGAAGTTACAACAGAGCTCTAGACTCAGAGGGCCACTGGTGCTTTGCTGAGGCAGTGCTGGGATGAGGAGATGAGACTGAGCAGCCCTGTGAGGGACTGTCAGTGCACATGGCACTTCCAATCCCTGTTTCATCTTAACCACTCTGCTCCTGTTTACAGAGCATTAGCTATGGCTGCTGGTAATGCCACATATGTTGAATTTTATAACCACTTCAGATGACTCCAGCTGGGCTTGGAAAAACAGAAAAATAAAATGGTTTTGTATTCCCCAAATGGTTTCAGTACTAGCTTACTGTAGAAGTCTAGAGAGGTAAAATATAAAGCATTTTGGCCTTTGCTTCAGACAGAGCAAGCAAAGTTCTTCTGGGAACTCATTAACCAGGAAGATCTCACAGCTGTGTGAGATCAGCAGCCAAAAATGTTTTCTGCAAAAAATGACCTGTCCTTAAGGGGAAATGTTTAGCTGGAAAGACTTTAAAATACAGTGAGATTGCATAAACAAAGTGTAAACTATATTTACATTACATAATAATGTACTATTGCTTATATATAATATATAGCTACTATACATCTATATACAGAGTACATGATGCAAGCGTATTGCTGTGCAGTGCACTTCTCTCTACACTGTTATGTCTTTATGGAGTTCTGTAAATACTGAGACCAATAAGGACATAATTCATCTCTACAGTGCACTGCAAAAATCGGCACAAACACACACGCACCATGAAAAGAGGGTAGCATCTCCTTGCCTCTAGCTCAGTGGAGTAATTTCCAGAATATTGCAATGTGCATCAAATAATCATTGCTGTAAGACTCGTGAATTGAGGCTAGGGAGGGATAATCTGATTTATCTGTTATGATCTCTTGAACCAAAATAAAAACCACCGAAACTGGCCAATCCTCTGTAATTTCTGCTGTAAGAATAAAGTTTGCTTCTACATCTATAAACATTTCTGCCTCAGAACTCACCATGTCTAGGGTAAGTTGTTCCAGTATTGAATAATTTTTCTTGTAATATATGTTGTTTCTAGTCTGAATTTCCACCATATTAGATGCTGTTTCACTCTCTTTTACAAGATTAAAGAGCTACCTATTAAAAATGTGTCCAGGTGTAAGTACTTGAAGGACCCTTTTAAACTCACTTTTTCTTAGTAATTAGGCATAGCTCAGGATACATAGCTCAGATACATAGCTCTTGATACAACATGAATTTCCAAATGTCAGATAATTGTGCTGTTGGTCTTGAATTTTTCAGTTTCTTCCCAGTATTCTTTCTGAAGTGGGTCTACTCCAGAGCACTCCAGTAATCTCGCCAATAGACTAGGTAAAGATATTCCTGCTTCTTTCCCCCCTTAGTATTATGGTTAAAAACACTAATAATAAATATTTCTTGTGCTCTTTGCAAATCTCTATAATATTCACTAACTAAATCACCAACATGTTTCTATATAAAACTCAGCAATTAAAGTCTGTTTGTAAAGTAATTGCACTTCCATGTCACACTAAAGCATCTTAAACAGGACCTGGCTCCTGTGCCACATGGCAGTAAGCATTTGAAAACCCTTTTTATACAACCAGAAAATACAGAAAACCAGTTAAATATAAAACCTGCTACGTGCAAGCCTGGTCCATAGTGACACTTATACCACTTTCCTATTTCTGTTGGCTGCAGGCTTAAGTTAGAGGTAAACCCTTCCTAGGCTGTATTGTAAGAAAAGAGATTCCAAATCAGAACAAGGAGGGAGGACTCACAGTAATTCACATGGTCTTTCCTCCCCTATCATTTTGCTCTTGCTCCTTTTTGGATAATGTGAAGTAATTAAAGATGCAATCAGAGTTTGTTGAATATAACAGTTCACTGCATAGTATACAAATGTATTACTTCTTAATACCCTTAATAAAACAAGAACATGTCCTAACAATAATTCCACAAGGTTTTAATTTGTGTATCTTATCCAAGATTATCAGATGTCTCCCTCAGTGAAATTAACCAGCAGTGTTTATTTTAACCTTGAATGCTAGTGTTTTGTTTTGTTTTGTTTTGTTTTGTTTTAACAGCCTAGGCTATGAGCAATTACAATACCCCACGCTGTCAGCATTGTTTGTTTCTATAGGTGATGTTGTGTTGTGAAGGCCAAACAGAAATGATTGCATTTATTCCTAACAAATACAAAGCCTTTAATTTTAGGTTGGATTTTTCCAGAAGAATCTTCGCTGTTCAGCAACCAGATCCCTTTACATTCCTCTGTGCCTGAGGATTAAACCTGGAAAGAGTCAGATTCAGTCTAAGCTCTGCAGCATTTTAAAAAATATTATCCTTCAGCTGAGCCCAAGAGTCTCCAATGAAAATCCTAAAAACCATTGCAGTATGGTGGGCAGAGTCCATCCTTAACTCTGGATAGCCCAGCCCCTGTCCTAGCCAAAGACACAAGCAACACACACCCACCCCAGAGCAGAAGATCTCAAGATCTAAGAATAGATTAAGTGGCCTAAACCAACTGCACATATTTAGTTTACTTCTTATAATTTCATTAAATTATTAAAAGCATGAAAACTTCAGGAGTATTTGACAACCATCTAAACACCTCCTTAAAAATCTGGATTCCCAGCCCCACAGACCCTTCTGCAGCAACCTCCCAACTCTCTCTGTCTCCATCGTGATCAGCATCATCCAGCTCCAACCTTCTGACAGGTGGTGGACATTACTGTGGTTGCTGTTTTGTGTGTGTATATATATATATATTTTTTTTTTTTTTACTTATATATATATATATATATATAATTAAAAACTAGATTTTAAAAAATTAGATTTAAAAATTCGATTTAATTAAAATTAATTAACTTTTGGCTGATCAGAGAAACTCACTGTGAGGTAGCAGACAGGAAAAAAAAAATCCTTTACCTATTCTTTTCTGAACTTGGGGCTTCCACGCAGGACTGGGAGATGTTCAGGAGACTTTTTTGATTCCGAGTTCAAGCAAGAAGTTCAGGTGATAATGGGCTGCAGCCTCACTGAAAAAGCTTTCTTATCAATCTCATTTTACGTGTTTACACACCCGGCTGCTTTGGCTGCCCCTCCTTTGGGAGGCCTGGAGTTTGCCAGCTGGTCTCCAAGGTGACCCTAGAGGCTGTGGCTGGCCCAACCTGCAATCACACTGCTTCCCTGGACAATTGCTGCGGGGTTTCAAGAGCCTTTTCATTTTATCTCTTTTAAAAATAATGCCTCGTCTTCTCATGTCTGCCCATAAGGGCTGGAGAGCAGGGGAGAGTGGGAGACAGCTGGCACTCCCTTGCTGTGGTAAGACTGAGGGAAAGTGGCTGTGGAATGTGCTGCATTGCCCTGGAAGCCTGGCGCAGGGTTGTGTTTTTAGAACATGTTTCTCTGCTTTCAATGATAGGGTTGAAAAACTCGCTGGTCCAATTGTTTACTCAGAACATAATAGAAGCATGTAAGTAAAAGACTGTCAGTTGTGGTTCACAAAGAAAAAATCCCTCACCAGTGTGTATTTTTTTCCTGATGATTAATTGCCACTTTGAAGACCTTCTGGTGGTTGGAATCTCTGGGGAGATGCTGAGCTTGTGTTCATTTGCAGCAAGAAGAAAGCTGGAAAGGTTAAACACCCATATGATAAGGAAAAAATGCGCTCTGCCTAGACACAGCTATTAGCAACTCGGTCTGCAGAAGGTCACAAACATTGTCAGTAAGATAATGTACCACTTTGTAAAGGAATCAGGATGTTGATAGACTCCTTAGGGGTAGGAAATAGCCTGTGTGTGCTCCCTGGCCCACTGGGGCAGCAGCAAGGTGAACACATAAGATCAAGGCTGATGGCAAAGGCAGCATGTACAAATCAGTGTAAGAACACTTGGGAAATGAAGGGAGAGCCCTGTTCTGGCCATGGATGAAACACTGAGCAAGAACGAAAAACTGCATCATTTCCTGGCAAAAGCAGAAAATTATTTTAGGCAATTGCTAGACTAATACCACTTGCATCCTGGCAGGCTGCTTATCTCTCATCAACAGGTACTTCCTGGTACTAAACTGAAACTTGTGCAAGACTTAGAATATTCTTTTATATCTTTCATGTGGCAGCTGATTGCACATTAATGCACAAGCAGGGAACAATACTTATTTAACATCATTTACTGATTCAGAAATACTGCCTTTGTGAAAATGTAACATCCTTCCACCCACTATCTTTGTTTTGTGAATCGATCTCCAGAGACCTCCTGGGAATGCAAAAGAGATAAAGAACATTACCTGGGCTACTGTCTCTCCACACACTTGGCAAAGACAAAACAGAGACACTGAGGGCTAAAGAAATGGCTTTCACTGAACAAGTTGGTCCTTGGAATTCAATCTCCCACCTCAATATAGAAATTCTTCAAGTGAAGGATTTCCATTGACTTTGAGGGTTGCAGCGGATTGAAACAACTGGGATGGGCTCTTGAAGGCAAAAAAATAAGTAAATTTAATATCTGGATAGTCAGCTGCATTCTGCTGCCTTTCCTTCCCTCTGCCAGTGAGCCCAGGCACACACAGACACAAGGGATGTTTACTCTGCATTCCTCTGGAAACTGGACTGTGCCATTTCTGCTATGGTTAATGAGTTACCAATCTGAAAAATTATTAACAGGCTATCAGGTGTTTCAGATTACATCAGGATGTGATGAAATTTATTTGGTTTTACCTGCTCTGTTACTGTGCACAAAGCTGTAAGCAGAGTTCAGTAAATTCAGAATTTAACATAAAGGATATAGGGATTTCATCAGAACTCTGAAATTCTTCCTGGTCATTTTCTAACTAGTACTGAATACATGCGTACCTATTTGATTGTTGGTTTTGTCTGAAAAGCCTGAACTGTCTGCTCAGTTTGTAGTTCAGCATTGTACTGAATTAACTAAGAAAAATATATACTATGAGGCCCAACATGATCTATAAACTCCTGACAAAGCCAATTTAAAAATTCAGATTTCATTTTGAATCTAGGTAAGAGGGAAGGTATAAGAAATGCTTTATAAACTTTATAGGAAGTATCTCAAAAAAAAGTGGCCCTAGTTATTTTGCAGTTTAGTTTACAAGTTCTAGCACAGTTTCTTAATGTGCCACCTGTGACCATTGTTGTGGTGAAGCTCTTCAGCTATGACAAGAACAGATATGAGCATATCTGCTTGTCCTTGTTTGGGAAATCAGCAGGATTGTTTGTGTGGAATACAGATTAAAAAAAAAATAGTAAGCATGAAGTCCCAGAACACTGTGTAGCAAGAAGATTAATTTTACAGGATAAGCCTCTAAGCCTCTGTGTTTGTTCCTGCCATTAAAATTAAGAAATTTTCACATACACTAAAAAAGAAACCATCATGGTAAGTACATTGTCAAGGGAAAAGTATTCTGATTTTAAACCAAGCTGTAATCCAATTAAATTACAGAATCACTGAATGGTTTGCATTGGAAGGAACCTTACAGATCATCTAGTTCCAAACACAACTGAACTCTGACTCTAAATAAAATGCTTTTATATCCAAAAATGCTGTCTCCCTGTGTGGTTTGTCGTTATCCAACTGAAATGAATTGTCTGCTCTCCAGAGCAGAGACCAGCTGGCACATGCAGACTGTGCTCATGCTACTGAGCTAATTCCTAAGAGAGTGGTCAGCACCAACCTGCCTGCTGGGTGCTTTGTAACAGAGCCCCAGCCCGGTCTCCACGCAGGTCTGACCCCACACCAGTGACCCTCATCTCACCCCTCTGGGCTGAGGAAAGTTCCCTGTAAGATAGATTGCCTGGCTACACAACTACAGCACTCCTAACCTTTGCCTTTACTTGCCTTTTTGCGTTGCTCTTGGGAAACACAAACAGATTTTGGTTTTTTTAATGCTATGTCAACTGCTAAATGCACTTTACAAGTATTTTGAAGGTGACTTGAGACCAGGAGGATTCCAGAAAAAGAGGCAGTTATCGTTAAAATTTTTCTTTTCTTGAAAATCTACCACAAATCTGTTTTCAGTTGGATAATGGAAAATGAAAACACTAGGTATTTAGTTTTTAAGAAGTTAAGCAACTAATGTTTACTAGAAATTGATTATTTTTATCCTGTGCCTTGAAATAATGACAATTTAAGTTCTTGAGTATTTCAGGGCAAATAGAAAAAACAATGTTGTGGGTGTCAGGGGTTTTTTTATTCTACTACATTTCTCAAAAATATTGGCAATTTTCTGTCAACCACAGTGAAACAATGCGATGGAGGCCTGACATGCATGAGAAACTTCTGTGCTCAACCCTCTCTCTTTTGTCCACAGAAGAAAACAGTTAAATGGGCCCAGCATTTAGCAGGATCAAATACCTTTTGATGCTGAAAAGCTGTCCTTAATCATTGCAAAGTGGGGGAAGTAGCGAAGAATAGAACAAGAACAGTCTGCAGCTTGCTTCAACAACAACCAGAACAATCTGTCCTCACTGAAGGGGGCAAAGAGGAGGGAGCCAAAACCAGAAAGGAGAAGGTTGCAGCAAGCTGCTCCTCAGAGAGGCCTCCCTAAAGACAGTCACAAAGTACTGGAATGTCCTGGAGAAGGAAGAGTGGTTGTAAAGTCTCTGTTCTTGGCACAGGCATATGCCAAGGCGGGGAGTCTTGATAATTTTTTTTTACAATCCTCTGAAATGTGGATTTTTACAGGTATCGGGGATCATGCAAACACCATTAGGCAGCAGAGGAAAAGGTGGTGGGAAGCAACATCAGTAGTCGTAGAGGAGAGGGCAGAGCCAGGCCAAGCACTGCTGAAGGAGTATCTGGAGGGGGAGGTAAGGGGGGAGCTGTATTGGCTGCCAGGGCAGGGAACTCCGTGCTTGCCAGCCCATGGAGCCAAACTGACTGCAGCTATGACTTCAGCCTGTGTGGTATCGTTTCTTAAACAACCACAAATGGGATGTATTCTTTTCTTGTTATTCACTGGAGCTTCCTCTCCAAATTAGCAGGAGCTGTTTTGGTTCCTGACTCCAGAAATGTACTGGTGGTATGTGAGCTGGATGCTTTTCTCAACCAGGGCATGTTTGATACGGCAGCACAATTCAGCACTCAGCATGCTGGGGATACTCATCAGCATGGCTGCTGATACACAACCACTCTAGAGGACTTTGTGATGACCCAGAGCCCCTTCTCTCCATTGCCTCTGCATTTCAGAAGTGACTTCTGTCACCCAGATCATGAGCTATTGCCAGGCTCCTCTGCACAGCAGGCCTGAGATGCACAGCTCCTGGCACAGGAGCTGCTGCTGCCTCAGTGAAGGTCTCTTTTCTCCAGTTGTGAATAAGAGACTCAGAGATGAGTCAGCAGACAGAAGACACAGTCAGGTCTCAAAACAGATTAATATATCTTCACTGAGATGCATTCAAATAAGGGCTGGAAGGAAAGAGGTGATGTTGTTGTAAAAATCCTGCAAGAATGTCTATGAACAGGCTTGCCAACCTTGCAATGGGGGCTTTAATGCAGACTTGCTGGGACTCATGACCAAAGCCCGAGATGGAGGAGAGGTATGGGTATGGTATTTTCCAGCACTGGAAACAGCACTGCTGGCAACCAGGTCAAATGCCAGCATATCACAGGTACATATGCACAAGAAGAAAAGGAGACAAAGTCTAAGCATGGTCCTCAGAATGACAGAATCGTCAAGGCTGGAGGAGGCTTTCAAGATCATTGAGTCCAGCTGTCAATCCAGCACCACAATAATCATCTCTAAACATATTCCCACATCCAGATGCCTGTGAACACTTCCAGAGAAGGTGACTCCACCACCACTCTGGGCAATTTTTTCCAATGCCTGATCACCCTTTCAGAGAAAAATATTTTTCCTAATATCTGGTATGAACCTTCCCTGGCATAACTTAACACTATATCTTCTCATCCTTTGGCTTGAGGCATGGCAAAAGAGACTGACTCCACCTGGCTACACCCTCCTTTCAGGGAGTTGTAGAGTGATAAGGTCTCCCCCGAGCCTCTGTTTCTGCAGGCTAAACACACCCAGATCCCTCTGCTGCTGCTCCTCATCAGACTTGTGCTCTAGACCCTTCTCCAGTTCTATTTCCTTTCCCTGAAC